ATGTATATATATGTATATATATATATATGTATTATATATATATGTATATATATGTATATATATGTATATATATATATATATGTATATATATATATGTATATATGTATATATATATGTATGTATGTATATAGTTTTTCGTTTTACCTCAAAAAACCACAACAGTCTGTTTCATCCGTATAGGAATCATCAGGTGGTGGTATATGTATGTATATATATAGTTTTTCGTTTTACCTCAAAAAACCACAACAGTCTGTTTCATCCGTATAGGAATCATCAGGTGGTGGTGTATATATATATGTATATATATATATGTATATATATATATGTATATATGTACATATATATATATATATATATATACATAAACAGAAATCACTCATTACAAACACGAACGAGTCATCATGTTTAGAAATGCTTGAACCTAACGTAGTGATATGACTGGACAAGACCAGAAATGATTTGTTTAAAATTGAAACGATTCACGCAAACAATTGAACGTATACAACGTGCATGTGCTATAACTTCAATTGTTTGCGTGAATCGTTTCAATTTTAAACAAATCATTTCTGGTCTTGTCCAGTCATATCACTACGTTAGGTTCAAGGTTCCAGTCATATCACTACGTTAGGCTACATTTCTAAACATGATGACTCGTTCGTGTTTGTAATGAATGATTTCTGTTTATGTCCATTCACTTCACACGTGTTGTATTTTTGGTGGTAACCACCGCCCATAGATAGGAAACTTCTGACGTTATTGGCCGCAACCTTATTGAAAAACGTGACGTCACGCGTATTGCGAATGTTACCAAAGTTCTCGGCATTTTTGTTGTTTTGCTATATTTTCCACTTTAAAAGGGTGATATTGAAGCATAAACTGGTCTAATTGTTTTAAAAACATGCCTAAGCCACGACAAAGTATTCAATTAGGTAAATGTTTTTCGTCTTTGTTTTGTATTTTTTTACATTTGTAGCTACGAAATTGGCGTCACAAATTTTAACGAAATTTGCGATGTAGTTTTCACTGTTTAGTGCTTGAAATATTTGCTAAAATTGACTGGGAATACTTAGAGTTTTCATCGTAGAATGGCGTGGTTATATTTATTTGCTCTTGGACTAAAATGTTTAGCTGTATTATTGCTAAACGTGCCGTTTTTGAGAATTTGGTTTTCAACTAGGTTGAGGCATCCAAACACGCCATCAGCCCATTGAAAACATTAGGTCACGTCAGCTAGTTTCCTATCCATTTATTTTATTATCCATGTTGTAACTAAAGTGCCTTGCCTTAAAGGACGTTATGAAGCAATGACGTATTTCATTAAAAAACATTAAAAAACACCAATTCTCATAATGTATACGAAATACCATTTCAGACCCCGGACGTTTACAAAGGTGTCATCCACATCCCCAATCTCACTCTTAACTTCTCTGCAAAGTTGAGAGGTCTGTATATGTTCTCCAATCAGAGTTGTTAACAACTTTCATTTCACAAGTCCACGTCAAGTCACCAGGGCGTTGGAACTGGGGAGCTCAGAGGGGGGGTGCATGTCCCCCCCCCCCCCAACTTTTTTCAAAGGACCAAAAGTGCCATTTTTGCTGTAAATACTATATTAACATCGAAGGCGCCTTTTTCACAAACAAGTCCCCCTATATGAATGAACATTTGCTCAAACTAGTGTCCTGTGAAATTACAGACGGCCCAGTGTTGAAGCCCATTATATTAAAGATTAGATGTGCCAAACTGGTTTTGTAATACCTTCATTAAATTAAATAAAGTTTATTATTGTTACTATTATTAGTGTTATATGACGGAGAGAGTGAGACCTAAGCGCGCACGCTTCGAGCACTGAACCGTTTGACTTATAAATCGAACACAATGTATCGAGTAAACCTGCTGAAAAACCTATAAACGACAACGCATTTTATGAATACGATTGACAACAATAATGGCCAAGCATGAATCATAACTTTGATCCTCTTGTCGTTTGTATTCTGATGCCATAGTGTAGATCAAGTAACTATACGGTATTAATTAGATAATGTATATTACTAAGCAGCATTTCCCAAGCGTAAACTTCAGTTATAATGAGGCAGTATAACTAATTTTATTAAAAGTAAAATCATTACAATTGTTCAACACTTATCTGGTGTACAATATAAGACATATAAGGTATATATAAAGGTAGAGTCGAGATCGAGTCTGAGACGTCCCTTCGCCATCTCTTGCAGCCGAGCGAGTGAATTACTAATGAGCTTGTAAACACAAGCAAAACCCACATCTTTGCGCTCATTTTGACATTCCCAAATCGCCATCAATAAGCATGAATTTGCTATCAAAATGCGCCAAATTTCACGAAGACTTCAAATCAGGCGGTAACTGGAGTCAAAGACCTGCGCAGAAGGTCCTAGTGCCAGTTTTCTTCAACAGACACCACGCGCGAGGCGAATTTCCTATACAAATTCTAACAAACAGCCCACAATCAAACGAAAAGTGACATTCGAATTAGGGATTATTTCCCCATAAAAGTACATTCAAAAGACGCCTAAAGACTTATTCTTTCCTATACCGAGGGTAACTGAACACCAATTTAATCGTAGAGCAAACGTAAGCGAAAAAACATCAAGTTTGGGGGTGATTTGTTTAGGGAAAAGTTGGAAATATGATACGCGCAATACGATATGACTTTTTGTAAAAAAGTTTGATATGTTAGAAATTAGAATTTGAAGAATGCCTCGGCACTCTGCTGAACCAACAAGTGATAAAAGCTTGACATAAGTAAATTTTATGCATAAAGAAACTGTTTAAAAGAATGTTTGTAAGAGAGATTTATGTGATATGCATGAGCATTATCTGACAATGAAAACTTGTTGTTCTGTGGTGAGTTGAACCCGATGATTTTCTCCCGAACTGATAATATGACTAATTTGTAATTTTATCATTTTTGCTAAGTTATTCTCTTTTAGAATTTAAGAAGCTGCTTTAAATTCCCAAGAGCAGAAAATCGTGCGCTTTACAAAGATGTTTTAATTTCTTAATAAGCCAATATTTAATATATGCACACTTGTCAATATTTTACGCATCTTTGCATTCAGCTTAATGCTAGGGCATTCAAATTCTAACAATACGTTATTTCAATAGTTCTGTTTTTTTGGGACACCCTGTATGTCCAGTTTCGTGTATCCACTTCCCCATGCTATTGCCATGTATGCAAACAACCCGGGAATTATTGAATGTATCCTCGCAAGAAATGGAATGCTGTTAGTACGCAAATCGCAATTGAATTAATTATGATTAATTCCATATTAGGGGGTATCGAATTTCGAAACAGCATTAGGCTGCACTTAACCGGTTTTTGTTCGCTCCTACGAACTATTTAATAAAGCGTTTCGTAAAGTTAGTAGTTCAGCTTCGAGGAATAAAGTTAAACAATTATCTGACCTATTTATCAAGTGATACGATCAATCGATCATGCCTGCATATAAGTTGATCTACTTCAAAAGCAGAGGACGAGGTGAGATGATTCGCTTGGCGTTTGCAGCGGCCGGGGTTAAATACGAGGACTGTAGACTGACTAGAGAAGAGTTCGAGGAATTAAAAGCCAGTAAGTTCAAATACATAATTAGGGGGTGTTTTAAAACCCTTCAACTATATTTTAAATGTTATTTTATTCACATAATTATGCAGTCAGTAGCGTTACCGCTAGCCTGCATGGCAGGCGGTTCCTAAAATTGGGCAAGCCTGGGAAATACCGCCTGCTGGGTTTGGCAATGTAATCGAATTCCCCGTCCACCAGTGGACGGGAATTGATGATTGGCTGCGAGTCTGAGCCGCTGTCACTCAAAAGTGAATACACTTTAGTATGTAAACATACGTTTAACACCTTAATGATGCAAGCGTTCGCTTTAATTACAGTGAAAATACAAAAAGTGTCACACTTCCGCTTCTGTAGTTTGTTGTGATTTACTGTAATTTGTTCTGTTTTTCTGTAGCGATTACCGATTTATTGGCAAATACTGCGATAAAATTTAAATTTCGTTCCTTTTATATGCAATGAAACTCACGAAAAATGTATTATTTCCCTTTGCTACAAATTATCATATTTAAAAATAGAAAAAATTTAAATTTTATTGCGGTATTTCCAGATAAATAGGTAATCGCTACAGAAAAACAGAACAAATTACAGTAAATCACAACAAACTACAGAAGCGGAAGTGGGACACTTTTTGTATTTTCACTGTAATAGCAGTTGTAAAACCATAGAACGCTTCTCGAAAGTCGAAACGCGAACTGATTGTCAAACGCGAGCAAGAGATAGCAGTTAAAGATTTACTCCTTGGAAAGAATGTTTTGGCCGTTCTATGGGAAAACCTTGATTTTTACATTGTTCTTGTTGGCGCGAGAAAAAAAAACGAGAATAGATACAGACGGCCGTATAGTCTTTCTTGCAACGGGTTTTATAACAGGACTATTACGCCTAGGCCTATTAGCCGCTTCACTTTCTGAACTTTTCAAGGCTTTCGTTACCACACGCATGGGCGTACCGGAAGGAAAAAATTAGGGGGGCGGAAAGAAAATCGCCCGACTTTTCGTAAAATTGCCCGACTTTTCGTGATTGTGCCCGACTAGTACCGAAAAATTTTTCCCGGAAAAATTATCTTGGCGACCTCCCCCCCCCGTCGTCGCCAAAAAATTTCGGTCAGTGTACCATTTAAGGGGTCAAAAAAAAATTTTCCGGACATACCATAATTTTTCGGAACATCACATAAATTTTCAAAAATACATTGGCCACAAAATTTACTAAATTTTCGAAAAAATTGACAGAATTTGTCCCATTCAGTTTTATAACAAACCAAAATTGCCCGACTGTTAATTAATCCAATATTACCCGACTGCCCAAAAAACTGGGGGGCTACCGTCCCCCCGCCCCCCCGCCTGGTACGCCTATGACATGGGCGTACCGGAAGGAAAAATTTAGGGGGGCGGAAAAAAAAATGCCCGACTTTTCGTGATTGTGCCCGACTAGTACCAAAAAATTTTTTCCGGAAATATTATTTTGGCGACCCCCCCCCGGTCGCCAAAAAATTTTTGGTCAGTGTACCATTTTAGGGGTCAAAAAAATTTTCCGGACATACCAACATTTTTCGTAACATCGCACAAATTTTCCAAAAAAAATACATTTCCCACAAAATTAACAAAATTTTCGACAAAATTGACAGAATTTGTCCCATTTATTTTTATAACCAACCAAAATTGCCCGACTGTTGATTGAATATTGCCCGACTGCCCAAAAAACTGGGGGGGCTACCGCCGCCCCCCCCCCGCCCGGTACGCCTATCAGGATGAGACAGTTACAGCTCTGAATCATCACCACGAGGCGTGCATAAACTATAAACATTAGTTCATATTTCAAATTGATGTTTATTTGGATGAAAGTTGACGTTATAATAACTTCATTGTTGTTAAGGTAAAACCTCCTCTAGTAACTGAAATTACGATGTTGTTTACGTTGTACTGTAAAATGAAATTAACAATGTTCAGTCTCTTCAGTATTTTAAGTTAGTATACCTTGACGCCATCTCGCTCAGAAATACAGTATAAACATAGATATCTTGAGCATAAAGCACGTGAACAAATCTTGTTCGAATTATTCCGGGGAAACATTGTGAATTTCATTTTACTGCACAACATATAAAAACTACCTCGCATTCTCATTTCACTGGTAGAGCAAGTTTTAGCTTACCAACAATGAAGTTTCTTACCTTCATCCAATAAACATCGCCAACAATGAACGAATGTTTAGTTTATGCACGCCTCACGGACACGGTTAATTGCAATTGTCTGTAAGGGTATTTATTTTGAATTTATTTAAATATTTTCCGTGTTTATACAGTTTTGTTGTTAGACAGTAGAGTAATTAATCATTGTGTTGTGGTCTGATCTGTTTATGTTTTCCTTATTTGAATTTTTCATTTGGTTCAGTTGCATGCACTGGTGTTACCTAATATACCCGATATTTTAAGGAAATCAGGATCCAGTTCACCAGTTTTTCTGCTCTTCCGATCTGTGTGTTTTACTCAAACTTTTCTACCGAACTGTTTGGTGAACACGGCAAAACTCGTCGACTAAAGAGTATAAGCTTTAAACTTGTTTTTTTAAATATGATTTGGTTAAAATTAATAAATTATCTGTCAAAAGTAAATGGCTTAGTATTTTTATTCAACAAGTTATATTTTAATTTATTCATTGAAACAATTAAAATTTTGTGAAAACCTCTAGGAAATGTTTCCCCCAAATAATGTAAATTGAGGCTTATATTCGAGTGGGGTTGTATTCCGAGGTTTACGCTATTTCCGTTAATCTGATCGGAGGCCAAAATGTTCTCCAGGAAGGAAACGTACTTCCAAGTGGAAACGTTGATAATCAAACGCGTTTACTCCAGCCTAAACCTAGGCCTTCTATCTTTAATTTCAGCGTTATTTCACATAAGAAAACTGCGACCAAGGCGATTTGGGGGCGGGGTGGAGGAAGGGCGAAAGTAAGAAATATCTTGCTTTAATTTCTCATGTGACGTCATACTTAGTACCAAATGCTAGCCCAAAATTAGCCGAATTCATATTAGAGACGGGAAACTCGTCTCAGACGGGAATGTTTATGAGCTTTTTCGGCTGCGTATTGCATGAGGATCACAGCATCTCAACATCTCAAACATAGATGCATCTCAGCATCCAGCAGGCCAAAGCAGAAGGCGGCAGCCTAGGTGAACTGCAGTAAGTAATTAACGCAGTAAACTTACGTGAACTTCCAATAATAGAAATATGGTTTAATAAATTTGTTCCTCTGAATAAGGGTCATTAGAGGTTGCTTAAATATACATAGAAATTAATAAAAAAAATTAATCTTCGGAATTGAAACTGGGCAACTCTCGCGTCCTTTTGTTGACGACAATATATAAAATTTGTAGAGATAGGAAGTTGGAAAATTGTATGTTTTTTATTATGGTTCTTGTAAATACACAATGTATGCAATTTTCTAGGTGGAATTGTACCATTTGACCAGTTGCCAATTCTCGAAGTTGATGGCAAAATACTTGCAAAATCAGGGACCATTTGCAAGTATGTTGCCAGGGAAACAGGTTGGTAGAGATTCTACTGTAGTTTCCGGTGCATGCATGGGGTGCTCCGGCTTCCGTATGTGCTGTACATATAGGTATATAGTAGATATACTAGAGGTGTGCATCGGATCGGATTGGACGTTTATAATCCGACAATTGGCTAATGTTTAAAATCCGATCCAAAATTGTTTAATCCAAATCCGATCCGAGTTGTGATAAAGAATTTCAATCCGATCCGATGAAACCTTTAACAAAATAAATTTCTCATTCAAGTTGAAATGTTTAACCAAATAAAAATAAAAACAAGAAATACATGTCAAGAAGCTGACAAAGTGACGTCCAATTTAAGTATCAAACGAAAAATGCAGCGACAACCGCGATAATGCTTTGATAAATGCATGGATAATTAATTCTTGCAATAATGCGTGGATAATTAATTCATTTTATTTCGAATATCGAAGTCCGATCCAATCCGACTACGAAACAACTTTATCAATCCGATCCGAAATGTATATTTTTGTTACGAAATCCGAACGAATCCGATCGGATCGGATTCGGATTTGCACACCTCTAATATATATACAGTACATTGATAGATTACATTGCAACAAATATAGCTGAATTGCGTAAATTTCACAATTTTAAAAAACAACAAGTAATAATTATTTAAAAGGTAAAAATTTGAGAGTCAAGGAATTTTGCATGATGATAGAATAAAAGTATTTAGAAATCTATTAGTTTAATATATGGGAGCTCATAAGTTCGCTGGTAGTTTAAAATTTAAATGCACTTTCCCTAATTAGCTACAACATTAGGTGCAAAATTCAAAACAAGTGAAACTCCAAAAATCGATAACATTTTTATTTATCTACGGCGTTTCGACTATATTTCAGTCATCATCAGTTTATCCTGACGTACGATGACTGAAATTAGTCGAAACGTAGATAAATATAAATGTTATCGATTTTTGGAGTTTCACTTGTTCTGTATTTTGTTAAAATAGTCAGTGGTTCTAAAAAAGTTTCAAAATTGTCTACTTTTTTCTGATACACCCTGTACTGTATATTAGGCTGTTGTGTTGTTTTGAATTTTTTAAATTACCCGTTTCGACATGATAGAGCACATTTTCAAGATATCTATTCACCTGACTTTTTGAAGTATTTTAATACTAAAGTTTTATATATAAATTCACGTTTGGTTTTAATTCAGATAATACAATTCGATAATTCGTTCCATATCCACACAGCTCAATTTTTGCCGAATGAATGCAACTAGTTGCCCACTTGTTCAAGAGGGGTGTCCACCCCACACCTCCTCTAATGCCGCCCTTGCCTTGAGTCGATTAGGTTGAACTGCTGAAGCTGCGTCCTTCGTAACTCAGTTCAGCTCTCAGCTGCAAGTGAGGATGATTAGAAAACTCTCACTTACTGCACTTACTTATAAATCAAACCGTGTAATGGAATACAACATACATTATACTACTATCTGTTTATTATTCAACAAGGGTTTGCTCCGACAGAAAGTTTTGAAGTCGCAAAAGCTGACATGATCGTGGACGGTATCGATGATCTGATGGACAAAGCAGAAAAATTTTATACTGAAAAAAATGAAGAGACAAAGGTAATGTTCCATGGGGGTATCGAGGGTGATAAATCAAACTGGTTTGTTTTTAAGTAAAGCCCTTAATTGCACGTTTGTTTATTTCAGAAAACTTTCGATTTGTAAATCGTAATTTCACTCAAATTCGAAACAGTGTGTTATTCCCGAGCCATGACGGCGTGAATTAAGCGTCGTTCTGGGCGTAAAGCACATTTTCTGCTAGGGGAATTTGTTCGCGCGATGCGAAAAACAAATCTTGGCAATGTGATTGGTCAGCGAAAAAATCCGCCGCGAAAAAGTTGGATCAGTTCCTACTTTTTTACTGTTCGCGGCTTCGCGCGAACAAATTCGGCTGGTGGAAAATGGGCATAAGCCCCGGGCGAGCGTACTAATCTGTTTACACCCGGGGAGAGGAAAGCATTAGTGAAGTGTAAACTCTTGTCATGGGTGCATGTATGGCACTAAGCTATACAGTTAGTAATAATATAACTCAGTGGTGTATGGGGGACCTCCTTGCTGAACTAAAAAAAATGGCTGTTTGCCAGGAGTGGGATAAGCAATATTTCAACTTCAAAGATATATACTTCGAAAATCGTTTCATACAGTACAATGAGCTTTCAAGTAATTTTACCTTCAAGAAGAATTGATATACTATGAGAAATATTCGTGAAATATAGGGTACGTTTGCTTTGAATATTTATGTTTATGAATTTTCAATTATTGCTAAGAAGAATTGATATACTATGAGAAATATTCGTGAAATATAGGGTACGTTTGCTTTGAATATTTATGTTTATGAATTTTCAATTATTGCTTCAATTTTTTGCGTGCTAAAACATGCACTGCTTCCTTTCAATGTACATTATGTTAGCCTCATTGCTATACAAGTCCTCGTAAATATGTATAGACTACGTTGTGCTCCAAAACGTTATTAATACTAGTATTATTCTACAATCCAATAGTAGTTATACACTTTTTAAACTTCTCTATATCAGACTTCAGACACAAATTTATGCCTATGATATATGATATCCTTACTTGTCAGTTGTCAACCTACGTCACAGATTAAGTTCAACGTACCTACGTCACAGATTAAGTAAAAAAAGTAATTGTACATTACCTTTACAGCCAAATAGTACAGCTTAACATATTCCCCCTCTTGAAATAAGTGTCGTTCCATGACACTTGGGATTTTTCAACATGCTTTACTCTCAGTCCAGAAACATGTGTTTCTCGTGAATCTATCGCAGTACCACAAAATTTTTTACAGGACCCTATTTATCACATTTCTACTTCGTAACCAAAATAATACGCTATCTCTGTGCGCTATGAATTTCTGCCAGATATACTGTATTAGTTATTTTATGCATAATTAAGCAAATGATCTGGGGTGGTACATGGTCATTTTCTTGTAAAATATTATACATAAATTTTTCCTTCCAATAACCACCTCTAAAAGCAACCCGTCTAAACACCATATAAGCACTTCAAAAAGGCTGTCACTTTTGCCTTTCGGAAGTTAGAGCTATGTCGGAACTGCTGTTTCAGGGCGGGGTCATTTTCAGGACTTTCGTTCCTTATTCAGGTTTTGGCACATATGCCATGTTGACCGCCATGGTCATTTTACCCTAAAACAGTTGAGATTACGTGTGCTAAATGAAACGCAAATACAAACTCCTATACAGGTCTTTGACTACAACGAGCTTTTACTTAACTGATACACAATTAATCTTGCTTATTTACATGTGGCTTTTAATGAAGAAACGAGCGTTTTCCTCTTAAGACGACTTGCCTTGCTATCATATTTCATCAAATCAATGCAGCAACTGGAGGAAACATAGAGGTTACGATAGTTGAATATTGTAGTTGTATATTAATTTTCCTTTCGCATTTCACCACATTGGCTCTGTGTTGTTTTGCAGTGAAACAATCGATATTTATAGTTTACAGACCTTTACATTGTAAAAAATATGGCAATAGAGGAAATCAAGGTATTACTGCAACATTTTTTGTCAGCTAATCCAATGTTTGTGATGATTTGTGGCCACTGATTTTGTGGCCTTAAACAGCCGCTGCAAAATTGTCTTTTGAAGGCTTCGTTCAAGTAATCAAGTTGTTTATGTAATTATGTTTTTAAATCAAGCAAGTGGAAGTACGCATATCTTCCTCTCCCGCTGAAAACCCGAGCAGTTTTCGCGCCCCACCTGTTGTTATTCCATGTTGAATTGCAAATAGATGACGTATTCTTAATTAAATAATGACGTAATTTTCTGAGTCGCTGATTGGCTACAAGCTCACAGTGAACAGCCAACTTAACAAAACGATAGCAATATATCTGCGCTAGCGCAGATACAAAAACTCTTGATTGGAAAGCAGCTTTATTGTATCTTTAGTATCTTGGTAATTCGCATGACGAAAACACAACAAAAAGCACGAGCGTGAAGGAGCTTTTACTCAACTGATACACAATCTTGCTTATTTACATGTGGCTTTTAATGAAGAAACAAGGGTTTTCCTCTTAAGACGACTTGCCTTGAAATACTTAGCCTGCGAACAGGCTCTCAAGCTGAATTCAGAGCCTGCATCGATAACTAACGAATTTGAATATCTGCCCCGTAACGTTCGTTTTTCCAAATATGGAATGTCTATCCTTATATGGTGTTGTTTACAACTTTCGTGCAAACTAAATTTAGACCGTGCAAACTAAATTTAGACCGTACGATTTATACTGTTTTTCGAAATATAAGATATTCAAGCAAAAGTTTAAATGTTTTAAATACTGTTTTCTCAAAACAGAACACTTCGTGCTTTGTGATAAGATGGCCAAGACCAATTTGATCAGTTAATGTGTTTTTTATGCATAGTTCAGCAGTTGACATATATAGAGCTCAGCGGAAACGTATAAATTATAGCATCTAACCCTGATCTGACCAATGAGAATTTCGCGTCACGATTTGAGACGCAGATATTCAAATTCATTAGTCATCGATGCAGGCTCTGAATTCAGCTTGAGAGCCTGTTCGCAGGCTATGAAATACTTAAATGCAGCATTTGCGCCCATATTGCATCAAATCAATGCAACAACTGGAGGAAACATAAAGGTTACGGTAGTTAAATATTGTAGTTGTATATTATTTTCCTTTCCCACGTCACCACATAATTTTGTGTCTATTTTGTAGCAAAAACTATTTAAAGAATTCTACGAGAACCATGTTCCACATGCTCTAGGAATATTTGAGAAACTTCTGAAGTCTCGTGGTGGAAAATATTTTGCAGACAACAAGGTAAATGAGGTTTTTCATATACCATACTATGCTCGCTTGGTCCGTTTCATAAAACTGATCAAATATGGTGTGATATATCAGGGCCTTCGCTCGAAACGTCGAGGTTTTGCTCATATTTTCCAGGTTAGTTGTATGTCCTTCTCACAACAGCTGTTTCTAATCACAGAGCCCAAATCGTCTTCCTCGATTTTACTGAATGACGTACAACGACGACGATCGTTAAATATTTCCCGTGGATTTCTGATTATAGATCTAATCTGATTACAACTAATCACAACAGAATATGACTACTTATTTGAAAGACATACAGCTATTTCAATTAAGGTTGTTCCTCAAGCAAAGCGGAAAAGTCGAATACGCGAGCGCGAAAGGCTGCTGGGAATCGCTAGCTAATAAATTCATTAATTTCTTAGCGATTCCCAGCAGCCTTTCGCGCTCGTATTCGACCTTTCCGCTTTGCTCGGGGACAACCTTAATTGAAACAGCTGTATGCCCGAATTGATTATAGCCAAGCTTGTGTCTGTCCTCCCTCACGTAATGCCGATTATACTATTAATCTGCTATATACTGTAGCTATTACGTACCTAGTCCCAGTGAACTCATTATTGAGTAAATATCATGCATGTAGACGGATCGTCTGTCAAAAGGACTTGACTATACAGCCTCGTTTTCGGCCTTATCATATCCCTTTATCTTGTTTGAAGTTGTTTCTGATGACCTGGATAACAGTATATGATTTCGTGAAGGCTTCGATCTGCTACAAGATAAAGAATTCTAAACCCAAAATCTCAAATCACGAAAACGAGACTCTATCTATAGCCACGGCTGAGTACTTTCGGGAAGGGTGTGAAGCACATCTATCTGACGGACAAACCGATCCAAAAACAAGACGAACTATGAAGTTTTGAATCATACGATATTAATTATATATTAATTATATATTAATTTCAATGATCAACTAATTATTAATTATAATACATGCAATAGTTTGGTGACCTTGACGGCTCTGAGACTTCAGTTTGTAAAATACGCTACAAAAAGCTGCAGTGACACACGCGTTTTGGTCACCAAATTATCTGACTTTTAAATATAGTGTATTTTTTCATGAATACATTCAAGTACCAGATTTTTCTTTCGGAACCATATATTACATGTATTAGCACAAGTGGATATGGGGCTAAATCCATTAGGGGGGAGGGGGTGTTATGGAAATTTAGATCCTCCATATATATCATTTGACATTCGTAGCTTGCGTTCACTTTTAACTTCCACGTTAGTCTGCCAATGCTCAACAACTTTCCTGAAAATCTGCTTAATAGTTAACTCACCCGCAACTTTATACCTGAAATTACTTATGAACAAATATTAGGGGAGGTGTTACAAATCCTACCCGCCCCCCGCTCGCTGCGACACTACTATGAGACAGCGTGATAATCCGGACATTCATTCAGTGTGAATCTTGTGATGGCTGAGACGTATATCTGTAAGCACTGCTAGCTAAACAAGCTGGACCTCCGAAATGTGAAATATTTTTTTACTTCTTAACAGCTGACATATGCAGATATAATATTCTTCTCATATATGGAAATGTTTGAAAGCCTGAACGAAGGTCCTTCGCCAATATTGGATAACTATCCTGCACTAAAAGATCTGATTAACACAGTTTCAAGCAACCCTGGGATAAAGAAATGGTTGAGCGAACGGCCTGATCAACCAATCTAAGAATGCATTTGATGTAAGAAAATATAACAAAATTTAAATGATTAATTCCATTCAGTGAGATGTACGTTCTAGTTGTGACGAATAAATATCAGAAATTGGATGAATGTTCGTGTTAAATTCAACACAATTACACAAAAAACAATTCCACTTCGCATCGAGCCTTGTTCTAGCTATTGTCTACTTTGCTTAAAACTTCGGATTAAATTGAACAATTATTAGCAGCCCTTCTGAAACACTTTAATGAAAGTATAGTTCACAAAATTCATATTTTCACTTACCTCTTAACATCTGTTTTAATGTAACTAGCTCTGGAGGCACAAGCAAAATCTAGTGCGGCGTCCATGGTTACACCATATGTCTATGTAAGATTTCTCTCAACCTCTCGCTCTTATACAGCTAATTCAATTAGCCTTTCTCACGCCGCCATTTTTGGGGTACTTTTTTGCCAATCCTGCGAGCGTAACACCACGTAACGGCGACATTTTATAATTTTGTGGGTGTATAATGGTAAATTTACGCTGTAAATAGTTAATTAGTTTTTCCTGAAATGGCGGCGTGAGAAAGGCTAATTAAGGTTGTCCTTTCAAAAACGTGAATCTTAAACTCTGAGCGCGCAAGGGATGATAGGTCATTACTTATTTAGACTCATAAACTTTGAAATTTGGCTTTGCAAGAATACTTAAGACATATAGAAGACTCACGACAGAAAACATACTTGCTGCAAAGCAATTTTCTGAGTGAAAAACCATCATCCCTTGCACGCTCAGAGTTTAAGGTTTAAGGTTTTGGAAGGACAACCTTAATGGGTATGTTGCTGGTTGCCAGTCCGCGCGAGGTTTTTCGCATTTTTGCAATGCATTGTGGTATCGCTGGGGGGCAAACAATTATTAGTTTTACAACGAAAGTATGGCAAAAGGTGATCATTGTGTAGTTTATAGCTGTTTATAGCTGTTCGCAGATACCCGGAAAAACAAATGATCAAACCACATGTTGGTATTCTTAGATTTTACTCACCAAAAACTCAGAAAGATATCGTAAAATGGAGAAAATTGCTCAATCGTAAGCACTTCAAAGTCACGTCAAATACGAAGGTTTGTTCGAACCACTTTCAAGCAGGTTACCGATCCGAGGAATGCCCCAATCCCACGCTTTATCTAAAAGGTTATTGTCCTGATAAACAGAAGAAAACCCGTCCATCCCCGAAAAAAAGGGAAAGTTTGGCTCCTAAACCTAAAAGACAACGTCGAAGTAGCATTTGTTTGTCAGATTCCTATTGAGACTATTCAGAACTTGATGTATCGCATGATAAATCACAGTCAGTATCAACCCTATCTGAGGAAAATTATTGCAGTCATATCCATAATAACATAAAGAAAGAACCAGAAGACGATTTTGGCGAGTCGAGCAGTAGTTTTTCATCACAGTTTTTTAATGGTTCAGATGAAATATCAAATGATTATGACACATCAGATGAAATAGATGTATCTGTAGAGAATGAAAAGAAATCTCGAAGAGACCTGTTTGTCAAGCAGGCTACATCTAATAGGAACTGTTTTAGATACACAGGGGTCACTAGAGAAAAACTGGACTTAGTGTTTGATTTGATAAAAGGAAAGGCAAAGTCTTTACGCTATTGGAAAGGATCTGTTGATACACCAGGTTCAAGAAGGGAAAAGAGAGGGGCCCAAACCAGACTCTTGTCATGCTGGGAGGAGTTTGTTCTTACGTTAGTAAGAACACGAAAGGGTTTTGATGTTCACTTTCTTGCTGACACGTTTGGAATCAGTGTGAGCCAGGTGTCTCGTATTTATAATACCTGGATTATCTTCCTATCAGAAGAGTTATCATTCCTTGTTCCCTGGCCAAGTCGAGGTGAGATAAAAAGAGTATTACCAAAACAGTTCCAAAGAATTCCTAACATTCGGGTGATCATTGATTGTTGTGAATTTTACATTCAAAAGCCATTGATTCCTGAAAGTCAAAAAACTACATGGAGCAGCTACAAGCACTACAACACAGTTAAGTTACTTGTAGGCATAACACCTACTGGGGTCATTTCCTTTCTTCCCCCACTTTGGACTGGGAGTACTTCTGACAAAGAAATTGTCAGAAATTCAGGACTGATTAATTTTTTAGAAGAGGGTGATGCTGTAATGACCGACAAAGGCTTTCTGATCCGGGATTTGCTAGCATTTAAGAAAATTCAACTTATTTCTCCAGCCTATTGCAGAGGACCTCGGCTTTCCTCCAATGCTGTAACCCACACCCGTCGTGTTGCTGCCCTGAGGTCACATGTTGAACGTTCTATTTTAAGGCTGAAACATTTCCGAATTTTGTCTGGAGTAATCCCATTACTGCTAAAGATGATGTTGGATCGTATTATCCTGGTTTATGCAGCATTATCCAACCTTCAAAAGCAGCTAATCAAGTGAACTACAGAATTATAACAGTGACAATGTTGAATTCACTTGAAGTAATTTATGGGATATTTCATATAATTTGAATAATATTTAAAGCAAAACTGGCTGTGTTTATACAATATTTCACTCTATTTTATGCCAGAGACTTTAAATATTAATCAAGTAATATTAATTATTACCATATAACGACTCTTTGAAGTCTTTGATAGTTTGTTTGTCACAAACAGATCAGCTTAGTGCTATTATACTATTGCTATTTCTTATTTATAACCACACACATTTTAGGAAAATGAAAAAATATTTATATTACCAATCATATATAACCTTCAATTTACATGCTATTTGATAAATCTAGATCATTGCTCTCTTGAATTTGCAATAAAAGAGCTGAAATTATTTTTTTAGTGTAAAACAATTTAACAGTACTGATTGTACTTTTCCAAAATTCCTCATCAAATTCTACTTTTGCTATATAGATTCCCATGTTGGTAAAACAACAAAGTCACACTGCTTCAGGCCACACACAGCCATTCCAGTCTGCACTTGGAAGTAGTGAATGTGGTTCTTGCGAATATATGGAAAACCGGCTTCATTAATTGCCCCACCAACAGTATCCAACAAAAATGCAGATTTAGGATCCATGTCTCTACCTGTGTAAGGACACTTAAATTCAACAAGTGTATCTTCACAAAAATGGCACTCTCTTATTCCATCTGGACTTGCCCCTACCCATCTATGATCAAGGCTTAGAACCAAGCCAGTTCACTGAATCCAAACTTAATGTGTTGTTTTTTCATAATCCTACAATAGGATGTTTTTGCTTCATCCTCCATCTCTGTGCCATACTTAATTTGCCAGTAACCAACAAGTGCCGAAATTCATGCCAGCATTGAGTGGTGTGTTGGCCAGTTGTAATATTGTTGATAACATCTCTTTCAGATGCTGTAGTGGACAGTTGGTCAACAAATTCTAAAGATTGTTGCATGATATTTTCATTACTAAGAAAGTTATTTTTCACAAATAATGAGGCCCTTGATAAGATTGTTAAATGTGAGAAATCTTCTATCTGTTCTGAGCATGCATGTTGTTCCTCTTTTGAATCTTCAGGCTCATCATCTGGATATAGAAAGTCAAGTATACCAGAATGTTCATCAATGTCCTGTAGTTTTTTTGCAAATGACATTTTGTCTTCAGGTGAAATATCCTTTCTTTGCTTTGTGGGTCTTGGATCAAAAGAGTCAATCCAAGAATCATCATAATTTGTTATCTTTCATTTGCTGTTCAGACCTTCAGAATGGAAAAGTTTCATTTCCAAATAAGGAATCGGTTTTGTTTCAGGTTTTGGTTTAGGATTCCAATATGCTGGGAGAGATGTCACAGAACATCTTTCACTTGACAGAAATTCATCTAGCTCAAACAATACAGCTCCAAGATGCCTGCAGCCTTGGTCTGCTCCACCTTTGCATCGACAGAATGCTGAATAAACTGATCCATCAGGTTGTAAAATAAACCATAGTTTGTATGCTTTATCACCTTCTTGTGTCAATTCCTTTTGAGTAGGGATTACATGAGCTACAATTACATGGAACTTTCTATCATCATTATCAAAAATAATTTGGTTTTGAAGGAATCTTACATGTCCTGCTTGGCAAAGAATATACTCATCAAAACTTCTCCACGAAGAAAGCTTTTCCTTGTCATAATTTGCCTTACTCATTATCAAATGATTGAAAATATCCATTAATCCAAAATTAGGAAGTGATGAAAAGTCAGATGACATATTCTTCATGCAAAAAGGATCAGGAACCTTCTTACCAGCAGGCAGAGTAAGCCGTTCATTTAAACAACATTCTATTGAATCCTTTTCAAAATCAGGGTCAGTCATTGCACCCATTTCATGTAGAGACTTTGCTAACATAATCAGATCGTTTTTCTTGTATTTAGAAACTGGAACACCCCTTTCTCGTATATATGTTTTTAACTCTTCTACCTTCATGCTTTCAAAAAAATGTTCTGTATTCTCAGTATTGTTTTCATTAATGTCAAGAGATGACTGATGATCTTCAAGTTTCATTTGGTTGCTGCTCTTAGCATTTGATTTTAATTGTTCAGAGAGAGTTGGATTGTTGAAACTTTTTTTATTGACATCACAATTAATCAAATTTAGTGGTTTCATTGTTTTTTTTTCTCACTGTTAATGCTTTTAGGTTTTAACAGTTTTTGGAGGGTGGGTTTCTTCACTTTTTTGTCATCAGTGCCACTATATGAAGGTTTTGGTGGTTTTGAAAGTCTCGGTTTCTTTGATTTTCTCTTCTTGTCAAGATATATTGATTTTGGTGGTTTTGGCTTGGTTGATGTTTTCAATTTTATCTCATTGGCATAAAACGTTTTGGACTGTTGTGGTAGTTTGGGGATTGTGGGTTTCCCCGACTTCTTATCCATATTCATGGTATTAGATTTTTTCACAGTTGATTGCACTGATGAAGTTTTATCTTCCACTGGATTTGAGACTAAAACTGTTGGTTTATTCACATGGGACGATATCAACTCATCCATATAAGCAAAAGGGTCAACCAAATCAATGAATACACTTTCCTTTCTATTTTCTGGCGTGGGAGCAGAACAACAGTCTCCATCAGTTTCCAACAGATTGAAGTGACTCGACTGAGGGAAAAACTCATGCAACACCAATGTAATAGGACAATCACAGGAACGCTTGACGGTCATCCGAGGCGTAATCTAGAGATAAGGATCAAATTTTACCTTTACCCATTTTTCTTTTGCCATTGAATACACAACAATAGTGTCTTGAAGTACAGTGGCGCAACTAAAAATGTCGGCCGTTTCGGCCCATGTACCATCCTTACGACTATGTTTAAGATGTTCCTCTACTGTTGTATGAGTAAAAAGCAAAGGAAGAAAAACTTGGGGGAAGTCTTCTATCACGGCGTTGCAAAGCGATCTCACCTTCGAATAATTTCAATCCGTTTTGCCGTTTAACGCTCGTGCTACCGCTCTGTAGAAGCAGTTGCCATCACCTTGAACTCTAGCTTCTCTTCTACCAATAGGAATTAGAGCCATATCATAAATATTTAAACACTTTTTTAAAAAACAAAGAAATATGTATATATTTGTAGTTGCTTAATTTAATCATAATTTTATGAAAACAGAACCAAAACAGAGTCAGAGGTAACCAAAGCTGCAAAAAGAAATGTGTAATTGTGTTGTTCTCCATTATTTAATTTGGCAGTACTTTATTTTTATCAACTTAAAAAATACTTAAGAATTGAAATCATAAAGATATGACTTTATAGTTTTTCAAAAACTCCCTTAAGGCCCGGTTTAGACGCCGTGCTTTTCATGAGCCGAACTTAATACAATGAATTAAGCACATGAGAAGCACGGCGTCTAAATCAATTAAGCATTGCACTTAATATTAAGCACGGCTAAATTAATAAGTTCGCCTGGTTCAGGCGTGCTACACGGCTGAAGCGCATGTTGATTTATACTGCTGTGCTTTACATGAGCCGTACCAAATGCATAAATTATGTTAAAATAGAATACCAGTTATAGTACACGAGCGTTGATTGGTCGAGAAGCGTGTTTCTAAATGCGATCTATATTTCCAGCCTAAACTTACAATCGTAAACAAAACAATTTTAATGCAAATTAAGAAACTTTAAAAAGAATTTTACCTACTGAGCTCATTTTGTAACTGTTACAGTCAAAATACAAAAACGTTCCCACTTCCGCTTCCTCTGTAGCTTTGTTTTGTATTTCTGTAATTTGTTCTATTTTTTCTGTAGTGAATTAATACCACTTTATCGGCAAATATCGCGGTAGAATTTCCCTTTCTTTTCTTTATATACGTCAATTTGTAGCAAAGGATACACCTTTCGTTAGACTCTTTGCATAAAAGTTGCGAAATTAGGCTTATAGCGATATTTGCTGATAAAGGCAAAAAGGGTTTCTTGCAGTAAATTGATGGAGCAAAGATCGACAATATTACGCAATGAGAATTTGTAAATATATCGAGTCTACTACCAATCTTTTTTTAGTTATATTAAGAAATAAATATAAAGTATTTATTATGTATGACCCATACAGTTATAGAAACACTTGTAGTAGTTTGGGAGAACTCGAATAACGTGGAAAAACTCGCCCTAAGCCTATATAGGTCTCGTTTTCCCACACATTATATCCAGGCATTATGCTATGTTTGTAGTAATAAGGCTTTTCAAAAAGCAATTGAAATTTTTAATAACCACAAACCTGTAGACGCTCAGAAATGCCAAGATTGTATGTGATAAACCTTTTTTTCTTATTATGAAATGTCACTCGCCCCAGGTTTCGAAGTGAAGCAGCGCAAATTATTAAGTACGGCTCATGAAAAGCACGCCTGTCTAAATCAAAATTAGAAGTACGCCTATTTTACTCGAGTAAAATATGAATTAAGTTCGGCTCATGAAAAGCACGGCGTCTAAACCGGGCCTTAACTGGGGCATGAACGTTTATAAGTCCGTAACAATCATGGATAATTTTGACAGAACTCATTTGAACCCTGCAACCAAGGCCTGAATTTCGAATCGCATGCATCTATAGCAAGGATGATCGTCAGAATGTCAGTTGTTTGGAACATGACAGCTTACACTGATAAACTTGTGGTCCTCAAACTGTTATAAACTACAAGCAATAATCCTAAATCCTAATCCTAAAAACTAATATTTATACCATATAACGGTGGCCAACTCGAAAGCTTAATCTCAGCTACTTTGGCCACTGTACACGATATAATACCATAATTAACTCCCTTTTTTTTCCCTTCCATTATGATTTTTTTGTGATGTAATTAATGTCTAACTATATCTTTTTGTAAACGTGTGAAATAAATTTGAATTGAATTGAATATATGTTTCGTAGTTATCATTTCATGTTTATCATGCCATATTTCGTCAGTTCTTGTTAGTTAGCACATGTTTCGTGAGTCGGACTAGTGATGTTTTACAGGGAAACGCGGGGGAACGCCGTCCTCCCACTGTTTTCACTTGGGAATGGCGTTTGACCTGACAGGACTGACAGCTAGGTCGCTAACAACACCGCACAGACAGAAGATGCTATGAATGTATATTGGTACACGTCTATATATACGTACGTGGTGCATGACCACTCACCAAGTGCATGTGGCACAACACAGTAACATCAACGCACTAGTTACGCAGGGTTTCATGGAGGCATATGACAGCTTACACTGATAAACCTATTTATACTCATGAACGTACTCTCACCAAGTGCATGTGGCACAACACAGTAACATCAACGCACTAGTTACGCAGGGTTTCATGGAGGCATATGACAGCTTACACTGATAAACCTATTTATACTCATGAACGTACTCTCACCAAGTGCATGTGGCACAACACAGTAACATCAACGCACTAGTTACGCAGGGTTTCATGGAGCCTGAGTGCTCAAATGAGCACAAGGGAAGTGAGCGTTGCATTAAAGGACCACGCCCAATTAAGTGGGCACACACATTTAACAGTTTCACGAGCATTCCCCCACTTCCTAGCCTACGGTGTAGACCCCAGCAGAAACACGTTTCGTAAGGGGTCTACGAATAAACGAAGAAAAGCTTGCCCGGCCTACGTCATATCCGTTTTGCGTTTTTGGTAAATTAACTTCAATTTATTCCAATCTCTGAAGCGTGCGTGAATGTAAATTTTCATTTGGCGCTTATTAAAATGTTCCATGGCGGGCTTTGTGCAATAAAATATACCCTGACTATATATATACCCAACCATTAAACACATGTTCGAACGGACTAAAAAGTTCTTGTCATTCGTACAAACTGTTAGGCTTGAAGGCTTAAAACTCGTCAAGATATCTAATTTCCGAAGTCGAAGACAAAGTCGATTTCACACTATTAAATGTAGCCGGCATAAAAGCTTTATCGCAAGTCAGCTCGAATCCTAGTTGGTTCACGACATTTATCAATAGCGTTTAATGCTGTTTCGGGCACGTTGGTTATCGTATTGTCTAGGCTCTAGCTCACATATTAAACCGTTCTTTGAAGCTTCTTCGTTTCACCGTTTGTTTACCAACGCCAGGCGGCCAGGCATGCTTTACAAATGCTATTTGTAGGTGAAATGGAGAAGGACAGGTCGTCTAACTCCTTACGTACAGTGTCCTTGCTGTCCAAGAATTTTATTCGACGGAACTTTGAAGCAAAGAACACATTTGTATTGGACAAAGCCCGCCATTGCATGGAACATTTTAATGCCTTTAATAAGCGCCAAATGAAAATTTACATTCACGCACGCTTCAGAAATTTGAATAAATTGAAGTTAATTTACCCAAAACGTAAAACGGATATGACGTAGCCGGGCAAGCTTTTCTTCGTTTATTCGTAGACCCCTCACGAAACGTGTTTCTGCTGGGGTCTACACCGTAGGCTACCCACTTCCATAATTTGGAAAACATAATTAATTCCATTAGTTCTAAATTGTTAGAATTATTTTTGCAAAATTCAGAATTTTGTCTTTGAATGGAAACAAACTAGAAAAGCGATAAGAAGGACGGAAAACAACACATATGGAAATATGTGAGTAAGCGAAGCAAGAACTTTACTAAGTTGTGAACGGCTCTATAGACCATGATGTCCAGTGAAAGGAAGGCAGAAGTCCTTTGCATGAGATGACATTTTGTGTATCAGTTCACGTGTCAATGCTGCAGCGCATTGTATGTTGGCCAAACATGCCGTCGACGCATTCACACACGTATATCAGACTCGCTCACAAACGCATACACAAACACTCATGCAGTCTCCGCTTCTGATTTCAAAATCCTATCATCTAGGCACTCCTGAGTGGGATCTTCATATCCGTGAAAGCCTACTAATTTCTCAACTTAACCCTGTCCTTAATCAAAATGCTAATATCAGATCTTCCCCTCTTATTATAGTTATGTATAATATTAACCTTAACTATACGGCTAACCATGCACTTACATGTAATGTTAATCTTTACTAATTAACTAGTTACTGATAAGTTGTTTTCCTAAGCCTAAGGAAAGGTGCTTCCTATATGGGAAGTGTAAATTTGATTTCCAGTTCACAAAAATCCTCCTTTTGGGTATTACCGTTTTTGTAATATTAAACCATTATTTTATATAAATATATAGCATACCCTGCAAATTATTTAGACTGGTCTGAAGATGCTGCATTGTAAACAACGAAACGTTAGCTATTAAATTTTCACTTTTATTATGTTTGGTTTAAAAGTTATTTGCTGAGCTCTGCTCTTTATCTTTAAATTAAGATTTCCGCCTGGTATATGAGTGTATATCAATTGCCACAGAACTAGGTTTTATAGCGAGCGATATTATAAGCACTTAACTTGTGGTTATTTATATACAACTGAAACATGAGACTATAGTACGTGTCCTTGTGTATTTAGTCGAGGAGCGATTTAAAATGATTTTGTCTAACTAAATATTTTGCAATAATCGTTTTATACACAATTGTATAAATGCAGGACTTCAAAATATATACTGATTGCACTTCGCAGCTTGTTAGGAGCGCTTGTGTTTCATTTAAAAAAGCCAAAAATCGAGAATTTCGTACAGTAGACCTATGCCCTATAGACTCCGCTCACACAGTACCGAGTGAATGCGGAACAATACACAAGACGAATGAAGCCGATAACCGTCGAACCGAACAATTCCAGCACAGTTATAAGCGCACGCAATCCCGTGTCAACGAATTGAAACTAGACTAAATTACGAGCGGTTGAGAATTCTCCGACCGGGTCAAGCGCCATCTGTTGTCTTTGCCAAAAATTGACACCAGAACTGAAATTCTCATGCTGAGATTAGCCGCTATACCGAGAATTTCACGTTATTTAGACTGTATAGATTGCGATCTTTCAAAAAAAGTTTAGTTTTCTGTATACAAACAGTAGCAAATTTCAGTCAAATGTATTAGAGATGTCATGCCTCGCGGACTGACTCTCCAAACAACATGAAATTTTCGGTAAGATTAATTTGAGCGTGACGATTTCAAGTCAGTCTATTTCTGCCAAATATCAAGATGAATTGATAACGCTATGAACTCGGATCTCCTCCAGTATCATGTAAATGTAAATATGCGAACAAACCTACCAGAAATTTTGAATTTCACAGCAACAATGTTTCTCTGACTGTATTTCTGTAGTGAGAATATTTGTCCGACTAGCTGTCTTTCTATATCGGAATATATTATGAACAGTCTCGTGATCTCAATTACACGGAACTTTAATTTCCTGTATAGAATTCGAAATTACGAAATTTTCAAAATTAAACGTGGCGAAAAATTCCACACAATTCATTGTATTACTGAAAATATAAAAGTTCAATTTTAATAATTTTAATATGTATAGATACAACTTAAAAGGTTCAAGTATAGCATTTCTTGTGTTGACCGGACGTAGTATGTCATTTCGTGGAAGTGACAGGTATTTCCACGTAAAGGCCCATTTCCACTCAGACAGGTATTTCCACGTAAAGGCCCATTTTCAAAATTTTGTGAAATGTGATTGGCCGATACAAATATTCTGTCAAAAAAGTTTAGAAGTCGAAAATTTTCAAATTTTAACCATGATATTTTTTAAAATTTTTTTGTCTGTGGAAATTTTTCTTGTCTGGAAATGGGCCTTAATAATCACTCAGAATACAGTTTTTCCATTGGAACAACGCGGCAAGCAACAAACCGCCATCGTAGTCCCCACATCTGAAAGGGTGTAAAGGGGAGGGGGTTAGGGTTAACCCTAGCCATGGCTAGCGTTCGGGGTTAACATTAGGCTGAGGATTGATGCTAAAGCTACAATCTTGGACAAAACCCTTGAGACCATTCCAGTCAATATACAAAGCTATTCAACATTGACAATACGGATTTTGTCTCCCCCTCTGAAACCAGTTCAAAGTTGTAAACAACGCCGAATTGAGTTGAGTGAGCGGGGGCTTAAAAAAGGCAACATAATTCAACATGGAGTTTATCATAAAACTAATATGCGAATAGTCCCCACCAGTTATGCCCAATATTGTAGGGTTAGGGTTGAGGGTAGGGGTTAACCCAAAGGTTAGGGCTGGTGTTAACCCTAGCGTTAGGGTTAGGGTTAAGTTGGGGGTTAGGTTTAGGGTTGCAATAGGGTTAAGTTAGGTTTAGGGTTAACCGTTACTTAACCCTAACCTTAACTTAACCGTAACCCTAAGTGAACTCTAACCCCAATATTGGCAATATAACCATAACTTAACCCAAACCGTAACTAACTCTAACTCGTAAAATATACATACGGCTTCTAGCTTTCGACAACAAGTTTTCAACATGTAAATCCCAACAGTTAGCTAGGTCATCTTGAAATGCCATTCCGAGAAGTTTTAGGCATTCTTTACGTTCAATCTCCCCGACGTGGTGGTAAGGGCTTTGACGTTTTCACACATATGACCATTTTCCACTTTTTGGAGAAATTGAGCCACATTCTGTTATTCTTCGCCCAGTTGTCGATTTGTTGGCGTCAGCAGTAGCTGAATTGCCAGTTGCTTTCATGGGAACGCTAACGGTCATATCATCAACAAACTTAACCAGCAATTTATCTTTCGGGTTCACAGGTTTTATATCGTCGACCATGAGTGAAAATAAGAAAAGACCGAGGACCGTACCCTGCGGTAAAACTTTATTAATATTAACAAATTATATTACAGTTCTATCAACAACGACTCTTTGTCTTCGATACCTAAGAAAATTAAGGATTGAGATTAGTCGACTTAAGTTTTCACATACAGTATTATGGGGGACGGAATCAAAAGCTTTACTAAAGTCGAATGATATGATTCGGAAAGAGTCAACATCTTCGTCTTCTAACAATTTAAGCCAGTGGTATTGACACTTTATTAAGGGCAGTTGTTGTATTTGTACCTTTATATGCGAACTGATCGTTTCCTATGATAGTCTTCGTATGAAAACTTCGTATGAAAACAAGTTTTTTAAATGGTCTCAATT